CGGGCCTTTCTGCAGGATGCAGCCCGAGGACTAGGCGTGTACCGTGTTGGTTTTTCTCTTCCTCCGAGCTTTCGTCACTTACTCATCTCTCAGCATCAGCCTCACATTTGCCCGTCTGTGACCACCGTCACGCTCATCCCTGCTATCACTGCTCCCTCTGATTTCTGATTTTCTATTGTTTCTAAACGTTTCACTGCTTTTTATTTTTTTATTTTTTATTTATTTTTTATTTTTTAAAGATTTTATTTATTTGACAGAGAGAGACACAGCAAGACAGGGAACACAAGCAAGGGGGAGTGAGAGAGGGAGAAGCAGGCCTCCCGCGGAGCGGGGAGCCTGATGCGGGGCTCGATCCCAGGACCCTGGGATCAGGACCTGAGCCGAAGGCAGACGCTTAACGACTGAGCCACCCAGGCGCCCCGTTTCACTGCTTTTTAATTTCTCCCATTGGTGATACCTTTCTAGACTGGGTTCTCCTGCCTGGGGCAAAAGCTGTGGGTTATCAGAGTATTATCTGGGAGATGAGAGAACTGTGCAGGACCCCACACACAGCTGCTCACCACATTTTGGAACCATTTTGGCAACACATGAGCACATCAGTTGTAGTTGTCCCACAGCTGTATCAGCTGTGTATAGACACGTTTTTTCTATGAGTTTATTCACAGTTCTCTGTTCACTTCTTTGACCACCAGCCCTTAGACCTCTGAGTATGGTTGGGCAGGTTGTTCACTGCACAAGGGTACCTGGCCAAAGAATACCAGACTATACTCCACTCATGGAATGGGGAGCAACAGCTCAGGGCTATGTCTACTTGGAGGGGCAAGCAGATGGTGGATATGCTTGCAGCAGCCCTAACAGTGAATGCTGGATATAAACCCTAAGTTGATATCAGTACTTTATTTTGAATATTAAATTTTTATTTGCCATATCCCCAATATTTTCCTTTCTGTTGCTATTATGGTTGGATTGTGTCCCCTTCAAATTCCTATGTGGAAGTCCTAACCCCCAGTACCTCAGAATATGATTGTATTTGGAGAAGAGGTCTTTAAAGAGGTGATTATGTTAAAATGAGGTCATTAGGGCCCTAAAGCAGTCTGATTGGTGTTCTTATAAGAAGAGGAAATTTGGACACAGGATGCACAGGGGGAAGACCATGTGCAGACAGAGGAAGACAGCCCTCTACAAGCCAAGGACAGAGGCCCTAGAAGAAACCATGCCCACTGACACCATCTCAGACTTCTAGCCTCTAAAATTGTGAGAAAATAAATTTAGGTTGTTTAAGCCACCCGATGTGTGGTACTTTGTTATGGCAGCCCTAGCAAACAAATACAGTTGCCCTATTTGTTTCTTTTTTAAATTTAGTTTTATATACCAAAGTTAAAAAAAAAATTAAACCTTAGCCATGTGGTTACTGATAATTTTATGACCTTGAAAATAAAAATTTCCCCTTCCACTTCCGTATTTAAAAATCATTTCACGATTAATTGCAGATGTGGGGTTTATTTTGGTCCGAGACACGTGGACAAGTTCAATCCTTTGCTGCAGAGGAGGTGTCCTAGCCACGTTTATGTACGGGAAGAAAGGGTTCTTCCTTCTAAGAAAGGGTTCTTCCTTCCACTAGCGAGTTACTTGTTCCTAATGTATCAGTTTAGATCCATTTATGAAATTGCCTCCTGTGACCTTTGACTTTCTATTTTTAACCTGGTATCAGGGTGTTTTTGTCATTGTTTGGTGTTTGGAGCTCCTAGAGGGTAAGTTGTCTGTCATTGCTCCATTGTTCTCTTCTTTCCCCAAACTATTCTCTGGAATTCTTAACCTATTCATTTTTTTTTCTCCAGGCAAATTTTGCTGCCACTTTAGGAAGTCTGACAAAATGCCTTCATTGAAATTTCATTGGACATTGCATGAAATTTATGTATTGGCCTGAGGACTACCTCTGTTCCCTTCAGCTGTGTGCAAGGGGTCATGTATTCAAATCTTCATTTATTTCTCCCAGGAGGGTTTTACAACTTCCTGGAGTCACTGTTGAATGTTGAGTGATATAGCTCTGGCTTTTGTGGTGAGGCCATCTCAGTCGATTCTGGAGCGCCTGGGACCCCCCCAGTCCTTGGAGTTAGATCAGTCTGTGGAGTCCGGGCCTGGGAACACACCTGGGCTGGGGCAAGGACATTCTGCTCCTGTTTGGACACCAACACCTTTCCACTGGATCCAGATCCTTCCCATCTCTCCAACTGGCCATTTTCTGGGCGGGGCCTGTACCTTTCCCATCCCAAACCTTTCCTCATGTCTTCTGGCTCTAGGTCCCCAGCTGTACGGGTTTCCTAGGGCTGCTGTAACAAAGTACCACAGAGCGGGTGGTTTAGGACGACAAATGTATTGTCTCACAGAGCCAGAGGCTAGAAGTCCAAAATCAAGGTGTCGGCAGGGCCATGCTCCCTCTGCAACCTGTAGGGGGATCCTTCCTCAACCCTTCCTGGCTTCTGATGTTTTCCTGGCAATCCCTGGTGTTCCTTGACTTGTAGGTGGATCACTCCAATCCTCCGTCTTCACCTGGCATTCTCCCTGTGTCTCTCTCTCCGCATGGCTGTCTTCTTAGAAGAACACCAGAAATACTATGTCAGCCATACTCCAGTGTGACTTCCTCCTAATTACAACTGCTGCAACTCAGTTTCCAAAGAGGGTCACATTCTGAGGTCCTAGGGGTTAGGACTTCAACGTTATCTTTTTTGAGGGGGACCCAGTTCAACCCGTACCATGGGCTGGCCCACGTTTCTCCCGACCCCAAGTCCCCTGCCCATGTCACTATTTTCTGCCTGGCTCCTCCTGATGGATACCCCCACCCCCACCCTCGTACCCTCTGCTGACCTCCTCTGTCTCCCCCACCCACCAGGCATGACGACCTGAAGGAGATGCTAGACACCAACAAAGATTCCCTCAAGCTGGAGGCCATGAAGAGGATTGTGGCGGTGAGTGGGGAAGGGGGTCTTCGGGGTGGAGGGCTGGTGGGCAGGGATCAAAGAGCAGCTCTCCTTGGCTCCCTGTGGACCTTCCCCTAATAAGTGTGGGCCTCCTCCTTTTTCCTCCCCCTCCCTTGACCCCATCACCCAGATGATCGCCCGGGGAAAGAATGCCTCAGACCTGTTTCCTGCTGTGGTGAAGAACGTGGCCTGCAAGAACATAGAGGTGAGCACCCCCCGGGGAGGGATCTCTCACGCCCACCTCCATCGGGAATAAACTCCCGCTGCTTGGGGTGAGGAAGAGAACAGTCCAGCCCCCGGGGGCCTGACTTGCCCAGAATGCCCTCAGTTCTGGAGAAAACACTGTATGTCCCTGAACCAGACGTGGGTCTGAGTGAAGGACCCGGGGCACACTGGGAACGCTCTCCTCGCACTGGAAGCATCCGTCCGCGCGACCACAGCCAGCCAGGCGACCTCATCTCATGGGGGGGCCACCAATCCCGCTGAGAAAGCCACTCTCCGCAGGTGAAGAAGCTTGTCTACGTGTACCTGGTGCGCTACGCCGAAGAGCAACAGGACCTGGCCCTGCTGTCCATCTCCACCTTCCAACGAGGCCTCAAGGTCAGAGGTCGCAGTTTGCCTCCCTGGCGCCTGGGGCTTGTGGACGCCGTGTTGGAGCCGCAGGCCCAGGGAGAGGCCGGTGCCTGGGGGAACAGCCTGGAGGCCCGTTCCTACCTGCCTAGAGTGGGGAGGGTCTGCCCGCGTCAGAGAAGAGCACCAGCGGGACCCTCAGAGGGGGGAGGCCAGCTCAGAAGGGGCATGAGACATGGAGTGGGGGCCCAGAGACCGTGTCCCTCCTCCTCTGAGGAGCCTGTGGCAATGGCTGCCGCAAACAGGAACCACTTGAGCCCCTGAACGTGGAGAGCCCTGGGCTCCCTTGCCCACTGGTGTAAAGGAATTGTGGCCCACAACCAGGCAGAAGTCCACCTCCTTAAGACAGCACTCTGTGAGGGCACGGCTGACCTGGTTCCTTGCCTCTGCGGGTCACAGCCTTGGCACCAGCTGGGGCTCCTAGTCTGGGTTTCTGTGGAGAACAATGACTTTGGAACTTGGTACGGAGGACAAAAGGGTTTGTTGAAAACAAATGAGCTCTACCCAGAGGAAAACAACAAAGTTTACCCTGTAGGAGAGCTGCCTCAGACACGGGGTTTGGGTTCAAAAGTCAGCGCAGACGCCATAAACACATGACTGTCCATTTCCAGTGAGTTCAGTACAACAGGTCATTCCTCTAGAGTTGAAACAAGGTGATCGTTCTTCTTTCTTCTTTTTTTAAGATTTATTTATTTTTTAGAGAGAGAGAGAGCATGAGCGGGAGGGGCGGAGGGAGAAGGAGAGAGCATCTCCAGCAGACTCCCTGCTGAGCAGGGAGCCCAATGCGGGGCTTGATTCCAGGACCCTGATTATGATCTGAGCAGAAACCAAGAGTCCGAGGCTTAACCTACTGTGCCACCCAGGCGCCCCCAAGGTTGATAGTTCCTCGGTTTAGCACCAGAAGTAGTTGACTTGTCTTAGATGCCCCAGTGAATGCAAAATACCCACTTTTAGAGACTGGATCACGTCTGTTGTACTGAAAGGCTCTGGGAGGCATGTAGAAACTGAAATCACCTAGGGGCGCCTAGGTGGCTCAGTCAGTTGAGCTTCTGACTCTTGGTTTCGGCTCAGCTCGCGATTTCAGGTCATGAGATCAAGCCCCACGTCGTCGGGCTCCGCACTCAGCGGAGAACCTGCTTGGGATTCTCTCTCTCCATCTGCCTCTGTCCCTCCCCCACCATTTCTCCCCCTCCCTAGGGAAAAAAAGAAAAGAAGTCACCTAAGGGAAGGGGCAGTAAGAATGGGGCAGGGGCTGAATCCCCTCATACTATTTAAACTGAATATTGTCACCTTTTGTTTTGCAAATGACGTGCCTGCGTGCTGGTCTCCACCACGCGCTTTTCTGGCTGGTCTGGCTCAAGGATGCAGAAGCCAGTATCACTGCCATTCTGTTCTCTCTCCTTTCAGCATTCCCAGCACAGATTACAACCATTAACTCCCCTAGTCTCCCACATGGTTAGTTCACATTCCTGTAAGAGCGTCCCTAAAGGGCCCAGCTCACCTTGTCATGTCCAGCTGGTTCTGGACATTGCTGAGCAGCCTGAGAACCGACTGCCCAGATCCGGGCGCAGCCCTGGGTCACTGTGCTGCGGCCAGCAGGAGAAGCCGACAAGGTCTGCTCCTCTGAGACGGGGTAGCAAGCACGGCCACTGGCAAACACCCGCAACACCTGGGTATCTCTGCGCTGCGTATCATGCTAGGCTAATTTTTTAAAGTCAGAACCATAGGATTGATCTATCTAGATGGGCAACTGATCTTTTGATTTGAATCAGGGTTAAATCATTTTATAGGAATCATTCTAGGAGTTTTGCACATGTACCTGCAGTCTTTACAGTCTGTCCCTTTTCCCCTTTTAGAAAACCAGAGCCCCCTTAGTCCAATCAATGCAATGATTTCTCTAGAACAGTGGTCAGCAACCTTTTCCTATGTACTGCCAGACACTAATTTAGGCTTTGTAGGCCACATAGCCTCAACCCTGCAACCACTCAACTTTGCCCTTGAAGTGTGTAAGAAACCATAAATGAGTGGGCCTGGCTGGGTTCCGGTAAGTTTTTATTGATAAAAAAAGGCAGGAGACAGATTTGGCCTGAGGGCTGTAGCATCCCAACCTCTGCTCTAGAACATATCTGACCCACCATGCCCAGTGACCAAGATGTCACTCCTTCGCTGCAACTACTTCTTTTTGAAACCATTATATTCTATTAGCAATAATCGCATTGTAGTCTATCAAAACCTGCATATCTATAATTTTTAAAAATTTATTTTGGACTCACAAAAGGCACAAAGAACAATATAGTGAATATCTATATACCAAGCGTAAGAAATGAAAAATTTATCAACAGCCAAAGCCCCCTGTGTATCTTCTCCTGTTTATCATTCATGTGCATGCATTTATTCTCCTACTAATTTATGCATTCCTAAATAATATATAATATTGTTTTGTAAATGGTATCAGATGATATATGTGTTCCTCTAAAACTCATTTTCCTTCTATTGTTAATGACTCTGGGCTCACTTATACACGAGAACCATTCATTTCCACCAAGGATTCTCCCGTTTTTTTCAACCCAGGCTGAGACTGTGTTTGCTTTCTTAGCAGCCCACATATGTGGTTGCCTCAATTCAGACAAACCTCCAGTGGGCAGTCAGATAATCTAGGTCTCCCTACATGCTGTCTTAATGCAGTTGGTCCCTTGAATCCCCTATGAAACCCTCTTACAGTTCATTCTATTGGTTTAGCCCAGCGTCCAACTCCGGGTGATTCTAAATTTTAATTCTTGTCTTCTTGATTTTGTGTCTTCCTCCAAAATGTTGATAAGCTGCACAGACCAGGGCAGCAGACTGAGTCCCATGGTGTATCATGTTTCTAGGCTGATGCCAATCTGCTAATAAACCTTCCCCAAGTACACTGTTTTACCAAGTTGTGGATCCACCTAACTATACAGTCAGCTGGCATTTTCTTATCTTGTTAGAAAGGATCTTATTCAATAGCAGAAAAATTTCTTAACACCTTTCATGTGCAAAGGGCTCTGGAGATACAGAGACAAACTAGACATGAGTTCTGCTCTTAAAATGCTTACCTATTAAGTGAAACAAAAAGCCTGCATCAAAAATGGCCAGCCAGGAAACGCTACGAGACTCTCACCAATGCCTTGCTGAAATCGAGATCCACAGTGTTAATATCGACCAGTCTAGTTACCCTATCAAAAAGGAAAATGGTTTTTTAGTAACTTCCTGTGAATCCATAATTGTTTCCAAATAAAAGGGGAAAAATAGGTTAGAGCAGTAGCTAGGATATGATTTGACTCTAAACAAACACAGACTCCTGCTTTTTAAATAAGTGCTTCTAAACCATGTGTTTAAAAATCAGTTCTAGAATTTTGACAGGGATTACCATCATCGTGCCCTGTCATTTCGTGGATCTTCTTTCCCCGTTTTAGAACATCAGGGAGTCATCTACACGTTATTTGTGCCAGCACCTCTCCCGTTGTCCACCATTCTCTAAAATTCACAGCAATTTACAGCTGGTGCTGGTGCTCTCCCATGATTGCAACGTACTGTGTCTAAGGCGCGTCCCTGGATGTGTATTGGATGCAACGGGAGCAAAGAGAAGGGGCCTCTGCACCTCTCTATTCTAAACACTGGAGGAAGAGGAAGAAGAGCAACTTCCGGGAGGTTGCTGGGGAAAGGAGTGTTAACAATGAACTCTGGAAAGGAGGCCAGTTTGAATTTGCGGGCAGTCACCTCTGGCATGAATACAAAGACACCCCTTCCGCCAACTCCCCCCCCCCCAAGGACCAAGAGGTGTTTCAGGAACTTTAGGTATTCTATAAGATTTTTACTCTTCCTGAAAGTGAAGCAACCCATGGCCACAACTGTTCCGGTGTCCGATTTCTGTGGCGGCGGGGGGGGGGGGGGGGGAAGAGTCAGTTCCCTCAAGTGGACCCTCCCAGGTCCCTAGCGCACACACACGGTTCAGGGAGTCAGGGAGGCAAGAACTGCTGGTAGCTAGAGACAGTAAGTTCCGTAGGCGTAGCCTTTCCCATCAGGCCACTGTGCTCTCTCTCAGGGCTCTGCCTTCACCTCTGATCCTAGGACCCCAACCAGCTGATTCGTGCCAGTGCCCTGCGCGTCCTCTCTAGCATCCGGGTGCCCATCATCGTTCCCATCATGATGCTGGCCATCAAGGAAGCTGCCTCGGACATGTCACCCTACGTACGGAAAACAGCTGCTCATGCCATCCCTAAACTCTACAGGTATGCCCCAACCCAGCCCTTCGCTCCTCCGGAGGGTGGTGCCCAAGCCCCCAGCCCACCTAAGTCTTGCAGATTGCCCTCCTTCTTTTATACTTTGGATGGTTTAAGATGGGTTGGGGAACTGATAGACATGGAGGACAGTGGTGGTGGCCGCTCACACCTCTTTACCAATAAGGTTGGGGTGGGGGTGGTGAGCACAGTTTGGGCAGATATTGGGAAGGCTGCAGATGGGGGGAGGGGCAAATCCCTCTCACCGTTTCTACTTCAGTTTGGATTCTGACCAGAAGGACCAGCTGATCGAGGTCATTGAGAAGCTTCTGGCCGACAAGACCACGGTGTGTACATGGGCACACACGGATGGGTGGTGGAAAGGAGCGGCACAGAGACCCTCTGCCCTTCCTGTTCACCCTCTCTTGCCACTGCCCCTTCCCCAGCTGGTGGCGGGCAGCGTGGTGATGGCCTTCGAGGAGGTCTGCCCTGAGCGCATCGACCTGATTCACAAGAACTACCGGAAACTCTGCAACCTGCTCATCGACGTGGAGGAGTGGGGCCAGGTGGTCATCATCAGCATGCTCACCCGCTACGCGCGCACGCAGTTCCTGAGCCCCACCCAGAACGTGAGTGGGCCCGGGCCCTAGCAGCGTGGGTGGGAGGGCTGCCGGGCGGAGGCGCCCACTGCCTCCCCTCACCTCCCCGTCTCCACCTAGGAATCTCTGCTGGAGGAGAACCCGGAGAAAGCCTTCTACGGCTCGGAAGAGGATGAGGCCAAGGGCCCGGGCTCGGAGGAGGCGGCCACCACAGCGCTGCCCGCCCGCAAGCCCTACGTCATGGACCCCGACCACCGGCTGCTGCTGCGCAACACGAAGCCGCTGCTGCAGAGCCGCAGCGCCGCCGTGGTCATGGCGGTGGCACAGCTCTACTTCCACCTGGCGCCCAAGGCGGAAGTGGGTGTCATCGCCAAGGCGCTCGTGCGCCTGCTGCGCAGCCACAGGTGCGCGTCCGCCCCGCCCCGCCCACACGGGGGGCATTGCCCCGCCCCGCCCCGCCCACACGGGGGCATTGCCCCGCCCCGCCCTGCTCACATGGGGGCTCCCCGTCCCGCCCACACGGGGAGGGGTGGGTGTGCTGACCCGGCCCGTACACTTGGGGGGCTGACCTGCCTCCGAAGTGGGTGCTGCCCACTTCGGGAGGGGTGGGCAGGCCCTCCCCGCTTTTCTCCGACCTCGGGGGCACACATCCTGTCCCACACCGAACCCTCCCCCAAGCCGTACTGACCCCATTCTTGCCCTCCCCGGACTGGTGCCCTCCCCTGCCTCCTATTTGGCCCACGTCCCTTCCCTCCACTCGCTGCCGCTTGCCCCGGTGGAGGGGCCCAGGTACCTCTGACCTGTCCTCTCCGTAGTGAGGTGCAGTACGTGGTGCTCCAGAACGTGGCCACCATGTCCATCAAGCGCCGGGTGAGCACGTCCTGCGCTCGCAGTCGGAGGAGCGGCGCCTGTGGGTGTGGGCGGCCCCGGGGAAAGGCAGGGCGGGGAATGCCTTCGCTGTGCAGAGCGTGGCAAAGGGGTACCCCAAGCGCAGGGGGATGAGCAGGGCCTGGATCCTGAGGGCCGCTGAGGGAGGAAAACCCGGTGAAGAAAGACGCGGTCAGCTCTGGGAGGGAGGCGGGAGGACAGCGCTGCGGCAGGATTCTGCGCCTGGCGTCAGGAGAGCTGGGGCCCCTCTGGAAACGAGGCAGGTCCAGGGCTGCGATGGAGCTCCCTGGGGCTGCCTCTCTCCTGCCAGGGTATGTTCGAGCCCTACCTGAAGAGCTTCTACATCAGATCAACCGACCCGACCCAGATCAAGATCCTGAAGGTGAGTGATGGACAGACGTGCAGGCCGCCCTTCCACCTCACCCCCACCCCCACCGACCCTCGGATACCCACAGTGGCCACTGTGGCTCAGGAAGCGGGGCCAGTGAGAGTGGGAAGGGAACCGCCCTCGGCTTCTCAAACGTGTTGGACATCTGCCGCTTTTCACATGTAAAGTAACCCGATTTTCATAATAAACTCAGGAAGCGCACATTATCTCCATTTTATAAAAATGTAGACCCAAGTCCCTAGCCCAGAGTCAGTCCTGCTGACTCCAGAATTCCTCCTTTACCCCCACTGTGGTCTCCTGTCTTCCACCCACAATGTTCTTTTCCCCATACATCTACCCCCTCAGGCTCTCAGGCAAACATACACCCACAGAAGAAGTGTCAGGAGCCCCTACCCACATTCCATTCCTGCTCTGCCTCCTCATTACTGAGTAATTTCATTCAGCAGCAGTCAATCCTGACTCTGAACATCTACTATGCATCAGTCACAGCTAGATCTAGGGGTACGAGAGATGGCAAACTCATCAGACACCTTGCCCTTTGGAGCTTACAGTTTAGCGGGATGAGGAGGAGACACTGAGGAGCTAATCACAAAACAAATGTAAAAACCCACTTGAGAAGTAAGGTAAGAAAAAGAAGTGCAGAGCGCTGTCAGAGCATAGAGTAGGAGGCCCTGATCTGGTCGGGGACCAGGGAAGCTTTTCTCCAGGAGGTGAGGCTTGAGCTGAGGCCTGAGAAATGAACGTGAATTGTCTAGACAAATGCAGGGACAGGAATGGCAGAAACTGCTTCACACAGAAGAAACAGTATATGCAAAGGCCCTGAGGCAGGAAGAGGTCTGACAAAAGGCCAGTATGACTGGGGCAGGAGAGCAAGGGGGAGAGCAGTGTGAGAACAGAGGTAGACAGGGGTCGGCTCATATGCGGGTTTATAGACCATGGTAAGGATGTTGCTCTTTATCCTAATAGCAATAGGAGGCTTTGTTTTCAGTGGAGGTGGAGAGGTGACATGCTCATGCTGTCTATAAGCGCACTCTGTCAGGGAATCCACTTAAGGGGCAAACTGGTCCTCCTGCATTTTGGACAAGCTTCGCAATCTGTCATTTTCTTCATCAGTTTAAAGATGATTCAGGGCTGTGTGTAGGATTGTTTTCCGGTCTGTGAAGTGTGTTTGGAATGAGGGGTTATGAGAGCACAGAAAGCCCACTGGCCACCCTGCCCATTTTCTGCCTCCCTGCAGCTGGAAGTGTTGACCAACCTGGCCAATGAGACCAACATCCCTACTGTCCTACGGGAATTCCAGGTACGGGCCAGGGCCCAGCTTCCAGGAGAGGGACCCAAGAGAGTTGCCCTGCAGCTCCTTGTGCTCAGTGACAGTCGTCCTGATGGGCCACCCTTCTCTTAAGAGCCGGAAGCAGAGAAACGGTTGTCTTAGACCCCCTCCCAGGGCCTTCTGCTGGCTTTGGGCCAGGGAATCACTGCATGATGGGTAAGGGTGTTGCTCCCTCTCCCAGAGTTTAGTTTCTGGCATGACAGGTCATTGAATGAGGGGAGACAGCCTTCCCGGAAGGTCACCTGCCAAGCCTGCAGAATCACGGAGGGTCAGTGCCAGCAGGGGGTCACTCTGTTGTGTCCCACAGACCTACATCCGCAGCATGGACAAGGACTTTGTAGCAGCCACGATCCAGGCCATCGGACGCTGTGCAACTAACATAGGCCGAGTCCGTGACACCTGCCTCAACGGCCTGGTGCAGCTGCTGTCCAACCGTGACGGTCAGTGTTTGTCTGCGTGTCCAGCTTTGATGAGCCGAGGGCGTCTGCCTGTCTGTCTGGGCACAGTGCACGTTCATCGGTCCGTCCACCTCAGTTAGCGTCTGAGTGTTGCTACGTCTCTGGGGGCCACTGGAGAAGTGCAGGGGGGCTGTGGAAGAGAGCCGAGGGCCTGGGGGCATTGTGGGTGTGTGCGTCCCCTGTGCACGGCCATCTGACCGCCGCGGGGCCCACACGCTCATTCCCCACAGAGCTTGTGGTGGCAGAGTCCGTGGTTGTCATCAAGAAGCTGCTGCAGATGCAGCCCGCCCAGCACGGAGAGATCATCAAACACCTGGCGAAGCTCACAGACAACATCCAGGTGAGGGAGTAACCTGGCTCTCCCTCCCATCCCAGCATCCTCCCTGTGATTTTAAAAACCCTGTGATTAAGCACTCTAGCCTTAATAAAATCAACTTCCGTACCTTCCATACTGGCTCTGAGAGGTCTGGCTGGTGGAAAGGGGGGGGATCAGGTGACCCTCACGTGTTGCCCAAGACTCGCTTTCCCCTTACGGGTCCCTCGCTGCACTCCAGGGCCTGTACTACCACTCATGTTTTCTCTGAAGCTCTGGCTGAGCCCGGCCGATTGACAACCCTCGTGTGTTTCTGTTGCACTGCTAAGCTGAAACATTCAAATAAGGCATTCCTTGAAGATTCAGGAAGAATAACCTGGAAGTAAAACGCTAGAAAATCAGTCTTGTAAACCAAACCAGAACTAACTTTGGGGCTTGAAAGTTCTGCCCATGCTAGTGAACCCCTAGGGAAGAAGGGAGACGCTGCCCAGGAAATGCTCACCTTTTAATCTCTCTCCCGCCAACCCCCTGGCCCATTTGCAGAGAACCCCACAGTTCATGGGCCAGCGCAGATGGGAGGAATGCCATTTCCCTGGCAGGCCACATGCCCACCCACATGTCCACACGTACCACAGTCCTGACCCCTCTCGCACACCCGCAGGTGCCCATGGCCCGAGCCAGCATCCTGTGGCTCATCGGCGAGTACTGTGAGCATGTCCCCAAGATTGCCCCTGACGTCCTGAGGAAAATGGCCAAGTCTTTCACAGCAGAGGAGGACATTGTCAAGCTGCAGGTCATCAATCTGGCAGCCAAGCTCTACCTGACCAACTCTAAGCAGGTGAGGATTGAGAGATGCCCCCTGACACGTGCTAGGCCTCGGGATTGGGGCAGGCGGTAAGCTGTGGGTCCTCACCAGGTGGGTGTGGACTCCAGCCTCTCTTTCTGAAGAGAGAGTTCAGGGCAAGTGTCTAGTGTATCTCGGTAACTGGTGTCCCCCCAGTGTCCACAGCTACTCTGAGGACCCAAGGGCCGGTAGGGATGGTGGCCGAGGTTAGAGGCCCTCCTGTGGGGCTGTGACCTCCAGTCTGCCTACGTGAGTGTCCCTACCTGCTGCCTTTGGGACACTAGGGCCATAAAGAACCACAGTGGAGTAGGGCTGAGGGAGGGGCCCGTGATGACGGGCACTGGGGGGTGAGGACGTGTATCCTAGGACAGGAGGTCTGTCCTTCCTCCCAAAACTTAGCGGTGGTTGGCCAGTCTGTGCCAGGGATTATGAGGGCAAGTCTCTGCTCGGTCTGGGATGGTACTGGAGTCCATTGTCGTTCTCAAGGTTAAAGGTCATGAGAGATACCATAGCCAAGGGCATGGCTCAACTAGGATATTGTTGAGTGTCCAGCAACCCGTGAGGGGGTCCCAGGAGATTCTCCTAAGAATGAGGTGTAACGTGCACTTTTCAAGGTGTTGGAAAGGCCAAGCACTAGGACACTTCCCACACTCACTGCCCCTCTCAGTTAGGTGAGGTAGGGGACCAAATCGGCCTGCTGCCTGTGTTTGTAAATAAAGCTTTCTGTTCATTCATTTGTTTATAGTATATGTTTATTGTTATGTTATATGGATGATTTTGTGCTACAGCAGCAGAGTTGACTAGTTGTGAGAGCCCATATGGCCCACAGAGCCTACAATAGTTAATTTCTGCCCCTTCTAGAAAAAGTTTGGCGAGCTATAGAGCCGAGTATCTGGGCGGGCGGCTGGGGTCAGCAGCATGGCTGCACCCTGGAGGTGGTGACATCCCTGCCCGCCTGCAGGTGGCCTCCTTGCCATCCCATCAAGTCTTGGATGGTGCAGTTGTGTTTCTTCAGTGGTTCCTTTGATCCCTGGTGGCTCTGGTGGGCCCCAGGGACTTAAGGGGGGGAGGCAGGGCCGTCAGGGGCTGGGACACTCGTCAGGAGTTGGAACAGGCAACGGTCACGCATGGGAGCCAGGAGGGACGGACGGGGTCTGTGAGTGTCAGCATTGTGGGAGAAGTTAGAGCACTCACTGAACAAATATTTGTGGACCTCCTTTGTTCAGAGGGGAGGAAAGAACAGGTGGGAAGAACATTTGAAAAGATGAAGCTATGTGGGTGGGGAGCCACCCAGATGGGCTGAGGACCCAGTGGGACTCCTGAGCACCCGGATGGTGATGTGTGATGTCAGGTTGTTGTCATAAGCCTGGGTGTGTCCCCACGGCATTGCCCCAAGCTGTCACTGTTAGCTACACGTGCATTTGCTCATTGTTTCATTTAACACAGATTTCCCGAGTGTTCATAGTGCCTGGCGCTGTGGTACGTCCTGGGATAGTGACAGTGACCGAGACATGTTTACTGGCCTCCAGATGCTCACAGCCAAGTAGGGGAAGCAGTAGAAGACACAGAGCAATAAGAACTGGAGTAGGGTTGGCGCAGAGAGTGTGGGTACGACCAGCCGAACCCCTCCCTCTCCCAGACAGGACAGTGGGGTCCTGCCCCCATCACGGCAGCCGGCATAGGCTGTTCAGGCAAACGGACACTGACCTCCAGCGCCCTTCACCTGAACCTGGGTCCCAGGCACAGGCCCTTTAGGATGGTTCTTTGAGTCAATAAAGAGAGCTTTTCTCCTCCCTCTGACCCTCCCTTTTTCCATTTTTTTTTTTCTTCCCAGCCTGTTCTCAGAGTAGTGGGGAAAAGGGAATCCAGTGATTCCGGGAGGGAGGAGGTTTTGATGTGCATATGGATGTGCATGCAAAACAGCAATCCCAGCCATTCCTAACTTACTGGCCCCCAGCACAAGCCAGATCTGGGCCTGGGCCGAGGGATGGCCATAGCTCTGCCTGCTAAGGCTCAGCAGATAATCAGGTTCCAGGCCAGAGGCCACAAAAGCCCTGGTAATAGATGTACTGACGGAGGGCTTGGGGTGATGGCAGCAGTGAAGGTGGTCCTTACAGCACCTGGGGTCGGACACCTGGGAAGAATTTCAGCAGTGAGTTTGCTTTTGGTATGTCTGGTGAGATGTGTAGGAGGAGGGTCTGCTAGGAGCATGGTGGGAGCTAAAATCTGGTCTCTGCAGCGGATGGAAGATTTTGATAGAGTTCTGCAGAATTTAAAAAAAAAGTAACTGTTTTTTTTAATGTCATAAAGGTCATGCATGATCATCATAACACATTTAGAAAACCTAGAAAAATAATAATTAAAAATTTAAATTAGCCATAGGTCTACCACTTAGAAAAGATCACTGTTAATCTTATATTTCCTTAGTTTTGAAAAAAACAAAACAAAACAGAACATTTCCGGTGCCTATTTAGTCATCCAAAAGTTGCACATCGGTGTCTTGTTCAATATTTTAACTTTTTCATTTCTGTTTCCCTCCAAAGCCTTCATATTTAGAAAGTTGTTTCCCCATTAACAGATCAATTAAAAATTTCACCTATAATTTCCTCTAGATTTCTATTTTTGTATTTTTTAATCCATGGTAGTAGTTTTCTCTTGATGTGTAACAAGTTGCCATAAACTTAGGGACTTAATGTGCTTATTTTCTCACAATTTCTGTGAGTTGAGAGTCAAGGTGTGGCTTTTTTGGGTCGTATGCAAGGCTACCATTGAGATGTTGGTGAAGGCTTTGTTCCCATCTGGGGCACTGCAGGGAAGTGTTCACTTCCCAGTTGGCATGGTGGGTGCTTTGATGCAGTTCCTTGGGATCGTAGGACTGAGACCCTGGCTTCTTGCTGGCTGTCAGCTGGGGTCTGCCCTCAGTTCGAGAGACCGCTTATTTCTTCAAAGCCACCAGGAAAAATGTCTCTAGAGCAAGTCTTATATAATGAAACTTAATCACGGGATTATGTTACAAGCCCATCACCTTTGCCATAGCCTGTTGGTGAGAAGCGAGTTTCAGGTCTGGCCCACACTCACAGAAAGAGGATTACATAAAGGCGTAAGCACCAGGAAGCAAGGATTGTGGGGGAGGACCTTAAAATCTGTGTGCCACACAGATCTAGAGCCTATTTTTATATGTGAGGTCAGGATGCATTTTGTTTTCGCTTTTTGAAGAGCCGGCGTCCCAGTGTGATTTGACAGGTGGCTGCAAGGTAGTGGGTATGTTGACATGGGTTCGTGACAAGGAGTCCATGTTCCCCACTTAAAAGTCCCCCCTGGAAGCTGGAGCCCACTGGTTCGTGGGAACCTTGTTCCGTTCTTGGTGCACTGAAGCGGGTCTCTTAGGCCCTCTTGAGCTGCCCGTAAACCCTGCACATCCTGGCTGAGTGAGGTGAGGGTCTTGGTGGTACGGACTGGATGCTAGGATTTCTGGTGAATGAGTCCTTGGGATGGAGAAGCGTAAGGAATTGTTATAAGCAAATCCTGCAGTGACAAGGAGGGTGAACCAGCCCCTTCCTATGTTGGCTGTGGTTATGCAGTTAAGGCTGTGGACAGATGGATCCAAATCCTTAACACTTCTTTCCAGAACTAGTCAAGGACTTGCAGGAGGGAGAGAGTCTGATCAGCCAGCTGGGAAGTCTGTAGAAGGGAATCAGCAGCATCTTGGCAATGGACCATGTTGATAAGGGCATCCACCAGCCGTGTGCCCAGTCAAATGATGTCTGGCCCAGGGAGGGGAAGGTCTGTGATGAAGTCCACTGCAAGGTGCCCTGGGGGCTTATGATGCTGAGAGTACTCATCTGTGATGGTAACGATGTTGTAGGCACTGCTTCTGCTGGAAGGGACTGAGTTGAAGCTGAGTCCACCGACGTCCCTGTGGGCTGTGTCATGGGTACGAGAGAGTCACAGTGGCTCTCTAGCTTCGCCGCGGCAGCAGCTCTGATTCTTGGCCAGCTTCTGGGGCTCTGTCCCTCATGGACATCTTCCTGACACTCCCACTAGGTTACCTGAGTCAGCCACGCCCTCGGCTGGATGTCCCTAAACCGCAGGAAGACCAGGGTGGGTTCCGGACTCCCTCCGCTGGTTCCTGCTGCCCCAGGCACTCTGGCTGTGGGAACATGAGATCTGTGTACTTGGTGGTTCTGACTGTCTTGCTCATAAGAGGTGGAGAACTGGGTGGGGGCAGCCGCCTTATGTCAGCGGGAGGCGGTGCGGGGGAGCTGGTGGGTGGCCGGCGCTGGCAGGCCCAGGCCTAGAAGCAGCGCTGACTGACTCCTTAACCTGAGAGAAGTCACTTCTGACTCCGCTTCTCCTCTGGAAGTGGGGGCAGTAGCCCCTACCTCGCAGAGGGGCTGTGACGTGACATGAGATCGTTGAAGCACCTTACACAGCGCACGGTGCTAGAAGGCCTCCATGAATGACGTCTGCTGCCTGTCATGCTATGAACGCAGGGGCAGAGTAGGCCAGAATCAAGGCAGCAATCAAGATTTGGGGTCCTGAGATGTGGCTGCCTCCGTTGTAGACAGTGGACCCCACAAGACTCCAGCAAACCCATAGGCAGCTGCAGTTTGCTCTGATCTCATTAGAACCTTCTAGGGGAGGTCATGGCCTCTGAGACTCTGGGCTGCTCAGAATGTACCATGTGAGTCAACAAGGCATGAGGACAGCCCCTGCCAGGGGGATCCCCCCGTCCTCTCCCACCTTCTGCTGTCTGCGTTTCCTCTGTCTAGTGGAGGCTGGGAACTGTGAGATTTCCAGTAGAATGTTCCAGACCTCCACTCACCCTGGCACCCCACAGTAGAGAGGCTGGCGGGGCCTGGAGTAGGCGGGGTGGGGGCTGGGCCTGGGACGGCAGGGACCCCTGCCTGAGGAAGAATGGAGCCCACCACCCAGAGGGAGGTGATTCCAGAAGGGCTACCTCTTCTGCGAGGCACGGCTGTTGTTGGAGCCGGGGTCGGGCGCGGGGCCAGGGACGTGAGGGGAAGCGCAGAGCGGTACAACAGCAGGTGAGGGAGGGGGTGGTGGACGCAGCTGGCCGGCAGGTGTCCGCTTACAGAGTCGGCTACGGACCCCCGCCCCCCATGTCCCACCTCTCGTCCCCCAGACCAAGCTGCTGACCCAGTACGTGCTGAGTCTGGCCAAGTACGACCAGAACTATGACATCCGTGACCGAGCACGCTTCACCCGGCAGCTGATCGTCCCGTCAGAGCAGGGGGGTGCCCTCAGCCGCCATGCCAAGAAGCTCTTCCTGGCACCCAAACCAGCCCCCGTCTTGGAGTCATCCTTCAAAGGTGGGAGCTGAAATCAAGGGTGACCCCCCCGGGGGTGGGGGAGGAATTAGCCAGGACCCCAGGCCATGCCCCTGAGGTCCCAGTCTTAGCCAGACATCAGGAGTGCTTCTGGAGAAATGCCGCCCTCCACCCCCAGCCCACCCCTTCTGCCCATCCTGCAGCACCTGGGGCTTACTCACCTGCTCACCCACAACCAGCACCAGCATCCTGTTGCCTGAGCCCCCGCCCTCCCAGCCAGCATGGGCTTCTGGCTCCTCTCCTGTCCCGCTCCCCCATCCACCTCCCTCCCTGAGCCGTCACTTTATATCAAGATTTAAATACCAAGGGCCCAGGAAGGCAGGAAATCAAATAGCGTGCAGAGGAGAGGTGTATGTTTGTAAGGGTCCTGAGAAAGAAGTTGCCAGCGCTTGGGGCTGTCACTGGAGCTCAGCCCAGATGCTGGGCCCTCAGCCTTGCCTCTGTCCTTGGGCTCATCTCCTGTGACAGGGGCCTGGAGAGAGGCCGGGAGGGGAGGGTCCTCCAGCTGGCTCTCTGGACCTCAGAATCTACACAGGAGGGGAGCTGCCTTCACAAAGCTCGGTTTTCCTGGGTGTCTTTCTGTTCTACTTTTTCTCTTCCCTGGACCTCAGGAATAGAGAGATTCTGAGGGATGGGACAGATCTGAAAATCTCCCAGGAAGGAGGAAGTCCCTTTCTCCTCCCTGAAACCATCCCCACTCTGTGTTACCCTCCGCTACCACAGGCTAGACCTCTGGCCCTGCCTCCTTCCCACTCATTCAGACTGCACACTCCTCTCCATGGGGTCCAGAGCCTGACCAGGCATGTCTCCCCGACTTGGCCCAGACTGGTCAGCCTCTTCCTCACAGTCACTATTCTCATACCAACCAGGCCTCCTTCCCAAGCCTGGCCGAGGCACACAGCCCCACTGCCTCGGAAGAGAAGCCACACTCCCAGGTCTGCCTCCCCTTCAGGCGGAACCAAGCAGAAGGGCCAGCAGCATCTCTGGGCCTGGAGCCCCCCTCCGCAGTCCCACCTGCCCCCATCCCTCAGCCCGTGCTCTAGTCAGGCCAGACCACCTTATCTTCCGGCACGTGGCCCTGAGGGTGCCTTCAGGGTGGAAGAACCCTAACAGGACACAGCTGCCGCCTTCATCTGCCTGGATGGGGGGGATCCCAGCCAGAGTCTCCACCCCATCTGGGAGATAACTCTCCCAGGGCAGTTCCTAACACCTCCTCCTGGCCTGGCCTCTAACCCCGCCCCCAGACCGGGACCACTTCCAGCTGGGCTCACTGTCCCACCTGCTCAATGCCAAGGCCACAGGCTACCAGGAGCTCCCAGACTGGCCAGAGGAAGCTCCAGACCCATCTGTGCGAAACGTGGAGGTCAGCGGGGGTGAAGGGTTGAGCTGTGTGTGTGTGGGGGGGGAGGTTGGGGGTGGGCAGGTAGCAGAGAGCCCGGGCAGTGCTGGCCCGGCCCTCCTGACACCCTCCCCACATGCAGGAAGAAGATCTCTCCCTTATCGAGACCCACGTGGGCCTGCTGGGCGAATACGCGGAGGTCCCCCTGCCCGTGTGCCGTGCTCTCTCCCCTCACCCCGCGCTCCCCCTCCCCTTCCCCTTGTGTGCTGCGCCCTGCTGCTTCTTTGGTTAGCAGCGCTCCCTGCATCGGCAGCATCCCCTCCCCCCATTATTCTCTCTTGGAGACTGGACCAAGTAGGGCAGGGTGCAGGGTAGAAGCCCCGTGCTTTCCTTCCTCCGCCTCAACCATGATTCAGTGCTCCTCTTGCCCCACCCGCATTTCCAGGTACCTGAATGGACCAAGTGCTCGAATCGAGAGAAAAGGAAGGAGAAGGAGAAACCCTTCTACTCGGACTCTGAGGGGGAGTCAGGCCCCACAGAGTCTGCAGACAGCGGTGAGGCGATCAGCAGAGCTGGGGACTCTGTGGCCCTGCCCACATGTGGTTTCACATGGTTTCACGTGTGCACGGGGTTGCTCACCTGCTTGTGTGGACCTGTTCGTGTGGGGGTGGGCCCGAGCGATTGCACGTCCCATACGAGTCCCTCTGTGTCCTGGTTGGTCCGGGTGGCATCTGGGGCCTGGGGCAGCTCAGGGGGGTGCAGCTTCAGTGCTGAGTCAAGGCGGGATCCCCGGGCACCTGCTCTGGACCCAAGGAGGTCTGCACACAGGGAGGGGCCCTGAAACCGTTCCTCCGCAGACCCCGGGTCTGAGAGCGCCTCGGACAGTAAGAGCAGCGACCAGAGTGGCTCCGAGGAGTCCAGCAGTGAGTCTGAGAGTGAAGACCAGGAGGAGGAGAAAGGAGGGAGCAGTGAAAGGTAAGAGTGGAGCCAGCCAACCCCAGGGCGGGGCTCAGGGATCTCCTCTGGAAAAGAAGGGGGAATGCTCAGCCTTAGCCCCTCTCCTAAGAGCCCCCGTGCTTCCTCCTGATCTGATGGGGCCTGCAGACCCCCAGGGCACTCCCATGACGGCTGCTTTGGCTGGCTGCAAGGGGCCTCTGCTGGGCCGGCCCCCTCATGGGGGCAGCGTGGAGAAGCAGTCTGGGGCCAGGGGCCCAGGCATAGGGGCCCACGTGTGGGCTCCTCCGGCTCGCTTTCCTGGGCTTCTGCTCTTCTGTGAGGGCAAGGAGAGGTGTCCAGGCTGGGCCTGAGCCCCATTTGGCCCCTCTCCTCCAGTGAACAGAGTGAGGAGGAAGGTGGGAAGAGGAAGATGAAGAAGAGGAAGAAGGTGGCCGAGGGACAAGGTTCATCCTCAGATGAGGGCAGTGGTTCCAGCAGTAGCTCATCGGAGTCGGAGAGGACATCAGAGACAGAGGGGGAGCAGATGGAACCAGCTTCTTGGAGGAAAAAAACAGTGAGAGCCTTGGGGCAGGAGGGGGGCGCTGGGCTCATAGGCCAGGCCCAGTCATCTCCCCACCATCTGGAATAGACCATTGTATCATCTACCCAACCCAAAACAGGCCAGGTGCCCTCCTCCCGCACCTGCATCGCATTTTCTCTTTCAGCCTCCCAGTGGCAAAAGTGCCCCGGTAGCCAAGGAGATCTCCCTGCTTGACCTAGAGGACTGTGAGTTTGGGGTAGAAGTCACAGGGGGCAGGAGACCTCGGGAGGGTGTAAGAAGGTCCATGGGCGCTCTTGGATTAGGTTCCCCAGGACTCCGGGTAGGAGGAGCAGACAGAACACACTTCTGGGTTGAGAGGGCAGCAAGACAATCTCCCCAGGTGTGGGGTTGGGATCAAGGAGCAAAACCCGCCTGGAGTCCCCAGGCTGCCTTGTGCTTCGCTGTCCGTGGTGCTGAACTGTGTGCTTCCCTGAGCTCTGGGCTTCCTGCTCAACCCAAGCCAACTCCACGTTGCCCCTCCGTCATCGTAGCCTTCCTCATCTACTCCCACAGTCACCCCGCCCAGTGTCCAGCCTGTGTCTCCCTCCACGATTGTGTCCACCAGTCTGGCTACTGACCTGGAGGGCTTGACACTCACAGACTCCCCACTGGTGCCCTCGGTAAGTGGGATGCAGGACTTCCGGGGCAGGGACACGTCTCTGTAGAGCATCCTATAGTGTGGATTTGTGTGTGTGTGTGGGGGGGTGTGATGTAGGGGATAGAATTGAGTCCCCATTGCTCGATGACCCTAGGTGATGACAAGGCGGGGACAGGCTCTCTCCTTGTTCATTTCCATACTGGCCCTCCTCCTCCTCCCCTCCAGCTGCTGAGTCCAGTGTCAGGTGTTGGGAGGCAGGAACTGTTGCACCGTGTAGCTGGCGAGGGGCTGGCTGTGGACTACACCTTCAGCCGCCAGCCTTTCTCGGGGGACCCCCACATGGTATCTGTGCACATCCACTTCTCCAACAGCTCTGATACCCCCATCAAGGGCCTGCACGTGGGCACCCCCAAACTGCCCGCCGGCATCAGCATCCAGGAATTCCCTGAAATCGGTATGGAGGGCCGTGGACATGGTGGAGAAGCAGGCTCCTGGGCACAGTCAGTCTTTCTGTGGCTGCTGATGCCCGCTCAGTGCTGGGCCAGGCTGTGCGGGTACAGAGAGGGCGTCTGATACGATCATGCCCCGGTAGACAAGATGGACTAGGAAACAAGCAAGTCCGTGTCAGGGCAGAAGGTGCTTGAGGCCTTGGTGATTTCAGGACGGACTTCAATGGGGTGAGGGACAGCGGGAGGAGGGTGTTTAGATTTAAGGAGAAAACCAGGAACCATCTCCAAAGGCCCAGAAAGCCAGGAATGCATGGAGGGGTGGTCAGCTCTGGTAGTGGTGGGTTCCAGACCTATTGGGTGATGGTGTCCCCCCCTCTCTCCCCCTCTCCCTGCCTCATACCCACAGAGTCGCTGGCACCTGGAGAATCTGTCACTGCTGTAATGGGCATTAATTTCTGTGACTCAACCCAGGCGGCCAACTTCCAGCTGTGGTGTGTATCCAGTTCATGGTGGGGTGGGGGTGGGGGGCTGGGGAGAGGAGGGAGCAGAATGGCAGGGATACATCATGAGCTGCTGGGTCCGGAAAGCCATCCCAGGCCCTCAGGTCTTTTCTCTTGCACTCTTGTTGCCTCCAGGCAAAGTGGGAGGTGAGGGGCAAGATGCTGGCCTCATTTCCTCTCCCTCTGTCTCCTCCCACCCTTTCTAGTACCCAAACCCGGCAGTTCTATGTCTCCATTCAGCCACCCGTTGGGGAGCTGATGGCTCCCGTGTTCATGAGTGAGAATGAGTTCAAGAAGGAACAGGGTGAGTGCTTCCTGGGGTCGACAGGGAGGGGGCTCGGCACCATCCGCTGGGGCTCAGTCAGCTCACAGTGCCGTCATGCTGGAGGAGCCTCGCCATCTTCAGGCAGAGGGAGGCCTCGTAGCTTGTGCCTCCAGCAGAGGCTTCACAGAGGGTGGGACACTTCAGTGAGGCTTTGGAGGGAGTGGGACTCAGCCAGGCAGAAAATTCTAGGCCAGCATTCCAGCTTGGGGAAATAACATGAGTACGCGTCGGTGAAAGTTTCCAGCAAGAGAGGGGAGTTTGGTTTGGAGCTCGGGAGTCTGCAGCACAGAGGGGTAGTCAGAACAAAGCTGAAAATGAGATGTGTGGTCTAGTTTCTGGAAGCCTTGATTGCTGTGCTAAAGGATTTCAATCTCAGAATTTGAGAGCTGGAAGGGGTCACCAAAGTTATCCGGCCCACCAACACTGTGAGGGAGATTATCATTTTCCTAGCAGCGGAGGGGTCTGTGAAGGTGTCTGAGGAAGGGGCCGGGTTCAGACCTCGGCTTCAGCAAGGGCAATCCGGCAGCACCCGCAGCTAAGACCACAATGGGAGAGGCTGCAGCAGGCAAGGAGGCAGGACAGCTTAGGTGGCAGAAGCACGGGGCTTCGTGAGTCCTGGCTCGAAATTCTGACCCTGCCACTCACTTGGTGTGTGACCTTGGCCTAAATCCTGTGACTATGGATAAGGCTATTGCAGTAGATCTGGTGAGAGATGGTGAGGACTGGGCTGAGCGCCTCAACAAAGGCATTGCAGGGCTGGGGCGGGTCGTGGTGTTGAGAAGGGGGCAGCCGGGGGCCGCCTGCTGCCCTGAGGAGGAGGAGAGAGAGGTGTTCGAGGATGGCAGGGTGGCAGGGAGAACGGCAGTTCTCCCAGTTCTACCCAGTTCTGTGAGTGGGCAGCCTTTTCCTGTAATGGGCCAGAAAACAGATGTTTTAGGCTTTGTGGGCCATGTTGTATACGTCACAGATAAACATATAAATGAATGAGTGTGGTTATGTTCCAATAAAATTCTATTTATGGACACTGTAATTGGAATTTCATGTGATTTTCATATGTCATGAAACATTAATCTTTTTTTTCCCCCCGACACTTAAAAAATATAAAATGTGTTGCGGGCCATACAGCCAGTAGGCTGGATTTGGCTTGCAGCCCATAATTTGCCAAACCCCTGATGCGGAAGGAGGCGGGAATGGGCTAGGCCGGGGAGGAGGGAAGATCATGGTTGGCTTCAGGTCAGCTGATTGTGAGGTGCATGTGGGAAGTTCAGGAGGAGGCCTTCAGTAAGCAACTGCAGATGCGGGTCTGTGCCCCGGAAACACCTCTAGGCTGGAGTCATGAGCACAGACGTGAGAGCTGGAGCTGTGAATGAGTCAGATGCTCTTGGGAGAGAGACGGGTGGGAAGGTGAGGCCAGGGAGTGTCCGTGAGGAAAGCCTGCAGAGACAGAGGGGAGGGATAAGAGAATGAACAGAGTGAGAGGCGGAGGGAGACCCCGGGGAGAAGAGAGGGCAGAAGACTGCCCTGGGGTGGGGTCGCTAGGCCAGGGTGACCCAAGACCTTCTGCTCCAGCAGGTAGGAGGCGGCTGCCCGCATCGGAGAGCAGGTCATTGCAAAGGGGGCACAGAGGCCAACCGCAGTGGTTGGGAGGAGACCGGGGCTTGAGGCAGTGGAGCCCTCTGGGGCGGGAGACGCGGCAATAGCGTGAGAGAGGGGACTTTTTAAGGACTTGGAGACTTGGCCATGGGGAGAGTAAAGGTACAGGGGCAAGGAAATGTCACCAGTCAGGAAGGAAGGGGATGGGGGCAGCAGGGGAGGGAGGCCTGTTCTCAAAAGGAGAAGAATGGGGGGAGCAGCAGGGGGAGGATGGAGGGGCTGCAGGGGAGGTGGCAGGAGGGCGGACGGAGGATGTCTGGCTGGCCCTGAGTGTGAGAGTGGAGAGGAGAGCTCAGGCCTGCAGAATGAGGGGTTGTGGGGATGCTGTGAATGTCCAGGGGGCTTCAGGAGCCCTGGCCAGCTCAGGCCACAGGTGAAACGGGAGATCCACCTCTGAGAGCCTCCTGTGTCCGCCGCACTCCGGCCTGTCTGGTGAGGACCGGTGCCCTGACCAGGAGTCTGAGAGCCGCCAGGGATGTGTTTGTGAGGACTCAGCTTCCAGGAGCTGGAAGGGATTTGAACTTGGGTTGGAGGGCCAGCCGGGAAAGACCAGAGTGTGTGGGGGCTGGGGCGGAGGACGCCGCTTTGAGCTGACTGGCCACCATGTGCACTGGTCCCTCTCTCCCAAGGGGCGGTAGCCCAGAAGTCTGACAGTGGGGAAGGGCCCGATCCGCCTTTGGTCAACAGCGTGGGTAGAGCTCGGGGTGGGGGGGTGGGGTAGGGTGGGGAGGCTGGCTTCCTGAAGAAGGGTGTAGTCCAGGACAGAAGTAGCCCCTCCTTAAGCCCGAGAGATTCAGACCCGCTCTCAGCATGAGACCTGTCCAGCCTGAGGGGACCTTGGTGGAGGATGCTCCGTGGACAGACTCAGGTGCCAGCCTCTGGACCCAACACGGCCTCTGCCCTCATCGTGACCTCTGCCTCCAGGAAAGCTGACAGGCATGAGCGAGGTCACAGAGAAGCTCACGCTGCCAGACACCTGTCGGAGTGACCACATTGTGGTGCAGAAAGTGACTACCGTTGCCAACCTGGGTCGTGTCCCTTGTGGGGCATCTGATGAGTACAGGTATCGGCCAGCAGCAGAGGGGAAGAGATGGGCCATGGGGAGGCCTGCTCTGCAGCAGGGTCCCATGCCCCGAGGCTGAGCCCCTGCCTCTGCCCTCACCTCAGATTTGCGGGCAGGACGCTGACCAGCGGGAGCCTGGTCCTGCTGACTCTGGACGCCCGGCCCACGGGAGCTGCCCAGCTGACCATCAACAGCGAGAAGATGGTGATCGGCACCATGCTGGTGAAGGATGTGGTGCAGGCTCTGACCCAGTGACCCCCCGGGGCTGTGACCTCTTTGACCCCCGCTTGTCTCTCCTTCCTGGCATCTGGGCTGTTAGCCCGCCCCCGCCCCGCCCTTTTCTCTCTCTTTTCTCTTTCTCTCTCTCCTAGCGGATTCCTCATGCCAGATAGCATCCGGGGGCGGGGGGGCGGCCTGTTGCCCTCTGGTCATTACCAGGCTCCCCCCACAACCCCCTCCCCATGGGTTCCACAGTGACCGGTGCAGACGTTGCCGGCAGCTGTGCCCCTGTCTTCCCAGCCTTCTGCAGCTATTTGTGTAGCAAAATCCCAATAAAATGTCTTCTCCCTACATGCTGGCTCAGCTTTCCTTCCTTCTGGGGTTCTGACGGGGGCCGGAGGGAGCTGCTCAGAGTGACCGTGTGACCCTTGTGAATGATCATTGCTGACTTTCTAGGGAAGGCTGTGACTCACTCTCGTAGGTGACTCTGGTTGGATGCCAAGGTGACCCTCCCCGAGTCTCCAGGCCTGTCTGTGGAAGAGCCGTCTGGGCAGGGATGGGGAGGCCAACCCGAAGAGCTCCCTGGTCCTTGTCATGAGGCTCTGCAAAAGCAAGTCCTCTTCGGTCACTATCAGTCCCCCTGATTTCCCTCATGGGCCTTCAGGAAAGACCCTAATGTGGGCGACTCCCCAGCATAGGTGTGAGGTTCAGAATATGTCGTCAGTGGAGCCCCCGGCTGGCTGGGGAGATGACCCAACCAGCCATCGTGGAGGGGTTGAACAGTGTTCAGAACAGGAGAGGTAGAACAGTGTTCTCAGACAGCCCCGCCTCAGATCAGCTGGGGATTTTACTACCCTGCAAACTGCAGTCAGTGTCTGCAGTGGGGCCTGGGACCCTGCATTTCTCACAAAGTCCCAGTGGCAGATGCTGTTGCTCTGTGGACACACTTGAGCAGTGGAGAAGGAGGGCCTCTGCAGCTGGGACAAGCCTTCTGGACGTGGCAGTGAGGGTTAGGGCCCTCCTTGATGCCTTTCCCCATGAGGAAAGAGGCTGAGTGAGCAGTGGTTCCATAAGGTGTAAAAAGTAACACGTTAGCATGTGTTCTACCAAAAAAAAAAAAAAGAGCGAGAGAGTCTATGATCAACAAGTTTAGGAATAAAGGATTTAAATGAAACAGGTTTATTTCCCACAGGCCTTCTCAGAGCCTTTACTATGCCAATTTGCATTGTGACCTATCCCTGCCCCTAAGGGGCTGGAACAGTGTTACCCAAACCTGGTTTTGACTTTGGAACACTTCCCCCCCCCCCCGAACATGTTGATTGCCTGGGTTACAAGGAACACACTCAAATGATGGTTTGGAGAGGTGATGCCTCAGCCTCCTATCCTCCGTGACTGAGACTCTAGACCCTTGGCCATACCTCTCCACAGCCCTGCTACTGAAGCATCCCTGAGCAGGTCTCTGCAGGGGAGAGACAGTGTAGCAGGTGTGCCCTTCTCCCAGGGAGGGAGGACAAAGGCAGTGTCAGGGGACATCCCTACCTTTGTCTCTGGGGACGGGCTGGGCTCCGTGGCACCAGAGAGCAGCTGGAGGTGCTGTTTCTTGGAGAGCCCTGGAGCCCCGTGGTCTCCCTGGGATCACTGTTTTTGTCACTGCAGGCTTGGCGATGGGACTGCTCGGCCAGTCAAGGGCAGACGGAGTGGTCAACTTGCTCCCACTCCCGTCTCTGAATCAGCAGTGCCCGCGGCGTAAGAAGGTGAGAGCAGTTTTCCAAGGCATTGAACACAGAGCATCGGAGAATTCTTGGCCAACCCGTACTTTGCAACAAAGGCCCCAGAACGGACTCTGTTGGAACCACAAGTGTGTAAGGCATCTCCCCTAACCTCCCTCAAGTTGCTCACAGCCCAGATTCCCACAGCCCCTCATAAAGGGCACTGGGATCTACAACCCTGAGGGCGAGAATCCCAGGTGCTGGAACTTCGGTCCCGGCCCTGTGCTGCTTTCCCTGGAGCGTGTCCCAGGCTGTGGGCTTCGCAATCGCAAACCTCCCTGCCCCCCACTCGTGCTCTCTCTCTCAGATAGATAGATAAATAAATAAATAAATAAATAAATAAATAAATAAAATCTTTAAAAAAATAAGACTTTAAAAAATACTATTTAAAAAAGTATAATATTCGTATAGAAAATTGTACAAATCACAAGTATGCAACTTGGTGAGTTTTCATAGCATGAACCACCCACGTAAACAAGAAACTGAGTGTGACGACACACCGCCCTCTTGCTTCCTTCCAGTTTGAGGCAGTGTTTTATTTCGCTCAGAGATCATGGAGCTCTGAAACCATCTGACACCCAACTCCAATTGGTAGTGGGATCTGTGTCTGGTGATGGGGACACGACACATCTGGGATGTGCTGCTGTCTGGGGCCACTAGGGCACCAGCAACCCCTGCAGCAGAGGCGGGGTGTGTGGAAATAAGCAGGGTTGTCTCTTGTTTTAACTGAGGGAGAATGTGAGGGAGCAGCTCTGGGGAAGAAGGAACTCTTGAGGGCCTGGGCAAGGTGACCCTGATCTAGGCTTTTGTGGGCCAGAACCCCGGTATCTGCACCTGCGGAGGGAAGGCAGGGAGAGGTGGGGTTGGGAGAGGGGGGTCTCCCTAGGACGAGGCAAGACTGAGACCCAGGATCCTGACAAGAGTAGCTGCATTCTCTCAAGTAAATTCCGAAACATGTCGGTTTCCTTCACTGGAAACAAAAGGCCATGGCCTCCTGAGTTCTCCTCGTGCTGAAGCTCCAGGCATCTCTAACCCATTTACCAGCATCTCAGGACAATCGGCCCTCAGCTTCGATTGTGATCAGTGTGGCAGCTGACCTCCAGGACGCACACAGGGATCCCTGCTTCTTCCCATTTGCGCCATTGGGTGGCCCCCTCCTACGGTTCATCAGGCTTGATGGGCGTGAACAATGGGATACTGCAGAAGTGACAGGATGTGCTTTCTGAGATGTTATAAAAGTCACTGTACCTCCACCCCAGTCTCTTTCTTTCTCCATCTTTTTGCTCTGGAGAGGGCCGGGTGCCACGTCTTGAGCTAAAGCCCGCAGCCCTATGGAGAGGTCCATGGGACAAAGAACTGAGGATTTGCCAGGAGCTACTTGAGTGAGCTAAGAAGCAGATCTGCAGCTCCAGGCAAAGCTTCCAATGACTGCAGTTCTGGTCCACAGCCCATCTGCAACCTCAGGAGGGATCCCAAGCCAGAGCCACCCAGCAAAGTCATTCTTGGATTCCTGACTCGCAGAGATTGTGCGAGACGATATGCGGTGTTGTTTCGAGCTGTTTAGTTTGCGGTTAGCTTTACAGCAACAAATTAATACAATCCAGCCCTGGACCCAACTCCTAGGGCGGTGCGGGAAAGTCCTCAGAGGGGGCCTGGGCGCCGGGGCCTGGCCTTGCAAGCACTTGGCTCCCACATTCAGTGGCAAACGGTGTGTGGGAGCGGGCTCGCGCTGGCTCAGAGCACCGACCGCCCATCGCCCACCGCCGTGCTTCCAGGAATTCTGTGGGCCAGGTAGAGTCACACTGGTAGTTGGCAATCAGCTGTGGTGGGAGGATTTACGCCACAGAAATCGGTGAATACTGCAGATCACTCCCCTTCCCACAGCTCATTGTCAGACATCTGCCGGCACATCACTGCCTCTAGTGATCTCCGTCCCTTATTTCTTTAAAAAACTGTGATAAAGAATATCACATAACCACGACTAGTGTGCTGATTCCCAGGCTTAAGGACTAAAACACTTAATTGATTCAGGCAATACCTTTTGTAGTCACTTCACAAGCTCTTCCCGCCTCACCTGAAGTAAATCACTATTCGGAATTTTCCATTGATCAATGCCATGCATCTTTTTTTTTGTACTTTTACCAAACATGGATATGTCCCTAAACAGTGTATAATTTGGTACTTTGTGATAGCAGTGTACTGCACGTTTTAAATTTTTATATATATGACGTCATTAAGTATGTCTCCTACCTCCTGCTTTTTTCAGTCAATATTATTTCTGAGTTACCTATGTTGATAGAATTTGGCTTTATTTCATTTACTTTTATTTATATATAGTATCCATTGTATGACTATACCACAATTTATTAATGCACTCCCCTGCTGGTGGATATTTAAGGTTGTTATTTTATTTTTGCAATTGTGGATAATACAGCTATTGGCATTTTTACTCAGGCCTCCTTTAACGTATGCAAAAGTTTCTCTAACATGTTACCCTAAGAGTAGAATTGCCGGGTCATAGAGTATAAACACCTGCAACTTAACGGCATCGCCGGAGTAGCTGCAGTTCCCACCAAGAATGTTCATAGTACCTTTGTTCACAAGAGTCCCCAAACTGGAAACAATTTAAATGCCAATCAACAGGAGAATGGAGAAACAAATTCGGTACATCCACACAATGGAATACTACTTAACAAGAAAGAGGACTGAACTGTTGCCACGTGCAACAACATGGGTGGGTTTCACAGATATCATATTGAATGAAAGAGGCCAAATGTTTATATGAAGTTCTACAATACACAGAATGAATGTCAGGAAATGAGTAAGAATAATAGTTAACTCAAGGAAGGAGGTATAAAGTGGGAAGAGGCATGATGGAATCCTATGGGGTTCCGAAGATTCTATGCCTTGATGTAAGTGAGAGTTACCTGGATATATATATATATAAGTAAAAAATTATCAAGCTGAACACTTAAGATTTTTGCATTCCATACTATATGTGTTATCCCTCAATTAAAAAAATGTAGAAAAGCAAAAAACTAAAATGGGGGAGCCAATTTATACCCTCATTGGCAGTGATCCTGCTATTGGATCTTTCTCATTTTGTCTGTGTGAGAGTTATGAATTGTCTCTCCTATGGTTTCATTTGCATTTCCCTGGTTATTGCTGAGGGTAGACATCTAGTGATATGTTTGTTGGCCATTTGGGTTTTCAGTTTCTGTCAATTGCCTGTTCCCATCTTTTGCCCATTTTTTTATAGGGTTGTCTCTTTTTCCTCATTGGTTGGAGTTCTTATGTATTCTGGAAACTAGTCCTTTATAGATCTCACATTGCAAATATCTTCTTCCAGTTTATGACTTGTTTTTTTCAAATTTTAAAAATCTTTTGTTAAATTGAAGTTTTAAATTTCAATTTGGCCAAATTTATCAGTCTTCCTTTATGTCCTGTGCTTTTTGTTTCTGATTTACAAAATTCACCCATACTCTGAGGTAATAAAATATTTTAGATATTTTCTTCTAAAACACTTCCAAGTAATGCCTTTCATATTTATATCTTTAATGCACTTTAAATTTACATTTGTGT